CTTGTTTAAAATGTATTCATCTCGTTTTACCAAACTCTGCTGTAAGGACAGGGCCTGACATTTCTTCCCAGGGCAATGGGCAGTGGTTTGAAAGTTTATTTCAGTAGCAAGTACATCTGAGTTTCAAGAATAGTCAAAGGTTCCAGGACATAGACATGAAATATGAAGAACAGAACATACGCTTGAAAAGGACATAACGGAAAAATTGGCCAAGGGAGAAGGGGAATCTAACTGAATCAGGCAGAGTTTCTAGTGAAGCCCGGTGGCTGAGAAGGATGCCCAAGAATAGTTATCACCCTTTGGGCCACTGGGGGACAGGGACTGTTTCGAGCTGAGAGTTAACCTCCTGGTACGGGGCTCCTCTAAGCAGGATTATAACCGTGCCCCACATCTCCTACAGAAAGCTTGCCTGAGACACTCAAGCAAATAAACAGCCCTTGTCTTTTTCTTGTTGTTGTTGGGCGGAGATGGCAGACATACTAAGGAATTTCTTTCCAGTCAATATTTTTCTTCCATGATCTACTAAACATGGAATCAATCATCAAAATAGTCCTCTTAGAAGAAAGTGTCCTACTGATCAGGAGCTCTCAAAGCATCTTCCTCCAGCTCAGGGTGAGTTTGAAAATGCACTGATGGGAGACAGGCAGGGCAGTGACAACATCAGGACCAATGAATGCATCTTGAACTGAGGAGCAGGTGGTGGTGTTTCCTGGGGGTCCTGCTTGCTTCCTCTGGCATGTTCACTGACCAGCATCTCAGGAGGCAGGCTGCTCTCCTGATGCACCTCTTTCAAACGCTAGTAAAGACTTACTTTCTAAATGACGCAAAACATGGGAATATACGTACCACTGGACCAGGATCGCCTTTTGGGCCCTGTAAGAAAAATATGGGAAGTCATTTAAAAAGTAATGACTGCAACAAAATGACAGAATAGGAAGAATTTTGGTCCAATTTGCTTTCATATACATAAAAATATCTGAGAGTTTTGTTCTGTTACAGTTTGGATTTGAAGTGTAAGGCGAAGAAAGATCACTTGACGGGACTCCCATGACCGTGATTGCTTGGACATTGATTTCATTCTCAGATTTCCAATGCAGAAAGTGACCCCACTCTGCAGAAGGCTGTTTTTCTTTATTTTGACTGTGTACATTTCCCCAGTTTTATTACAATTGGTTTCATTGCTTTCCTCCTGTAGAAAATTTGGTTATATATATATATATGTATTCTTCCATGAACTTAGGAGATCTTTTGGTTTTGTTTTCTTTTTCTTTTTTTTTAATTGTGGCTGTTTAACTAAAGGATGCTTGGTGATAAATAATTGTACTCACAGGGGGTCCGGGGGGCCCTGGGTAGCTGGGAACAGTCACACCTCCCTTCAAAAGGAAAAATAAAGGTAAGAAGAATTTATAGTCATCGGTAACTGGAAAATTATTTTACATAGTCAGAAAAATAAATACCTGGATTTTATATAAACTGCTCATTCCATTCCCTTCATTGAATGGTACACCCTTAGAAAAGAAACGAGATACAGAATTATTCTTTTAAGTGAATAGTTAGCATCTTCACCATTTATTGTACTGTATTTATTGTACTGTATTAGGAAAATAATATTTTTCCTACTCTAGTTTAGACATGGAGTTGAATACTATCAGTAAAAAAATTACAATGCTTCCATTTTTAGCTTTTCAAAAGCAAGTGTAGAGGAGAAAATGAGAAGGCACCCTAGCTACACTTGGAGCACGTACACATGTGCTTTCAGTGGAGGTGTGATGAATGCGCCAGCTTGACAGATGAGACACTAATGCATTCAAAGGAAAATATTATTTGCTCATTAAAATTCAGTTCCTGAATTGCCAATTTATACTAACGGTTTACAGCCCTGCTGACCTGCAGGCTGTAATGCAGTCGTGCTGATAAAGATGTGAATAGGGAACAATTTGGCTAGTGAAAGGTCATTTTTTTACCCCACAGTCTCTTCACACTAAAGAGAAGATTAAGGGAAATGGGGGAGACCATGTTACTCACAACCCTGCCTGGATGTTTCTACAAAAACCTATTCTTTTAAAATAATAGGGAATAGCAACTTCCTGATAAAATTGACTGGGGAGTGAAAAGTCCCAGAGTAACTAACACTTAAAGAGAGACTAATTTGAGAGGCTTTAAAAATCATAGATTTTAACATTCGGGAAAAAAAAATCTGTGTATGAAGATTTTAGTTAGGCTCTTTGATCCTTCTTTTTAACAATTCCCATAGAATCAATAATCTGCATTTTCCTTTTTGTGATGTCCACTTCTCAGCTGCAAAACTGGAGAGCCATCATAGCTCTGGTTTCGGACAATATTACCCAGTAGTGCTCAGGGCAGACAATTTGCATGCATCTTCCACAGGCTCATGAGGGAGGGAAAAGCACTCTGCTCATTTATTCATTTAGTATTTCACTCCTTCACTGGACAGTTGCTGAATATCTGCTCTATTTAGTGTGCTTAGTCCTGGAGGGGGAAGGATACTTTTGTCTGAAATTTCCTGGGGAGTTTTCTCAGAAAAGACAACCTTTAATTTGTCTTGAAGAAGAAATAGTTTTGGAGAAGGGGGTGGGAGGGAAGAGGAAGAATTCTCAATCCCATTGTAAACAATAGGTCCCTTTTGTGAGCTCATGTTATATTTTGCTGTTCTGGCCACTGGGGAGGGAGTGAGTTTTAGTATTTGAGCCTCAAATGCTTTCTGTCCTGCCTCCTTGTTAAGGAGGAAGGTAAGACAGAAAAAAAAAAAAGAAAAAAAAAAGAACAGGTTTAGAAAAACAGAGCGCCGACATCCTCAAGGATACGTGCAGGCTGTAACTGAGACAGACTCGTGACAAATCTTTGCTGTCTCCAGAAAGTCACAGGTGAATTCTGCCCCTCCTGGGTGAGTCTGGCTTCTTAAACTTTTGCCACACGTCAGGGTGGGAAAGAATGTTTGGTTGGACCTAAGCTGTGATGCTGTTCGACTGAGACCCCACATGAGGGCAGACTTGCTCCAGGAAGAGACATTGCTCCTCCACAGCCTCTGACCAAATGCAAATCTTCTCAATCCCAGGCAGGAAAACCTCGATGGCTCTAGTCTATTTCATTCACTTGCTGCTCCATAGAAACAGAATTTCCTTGCATCTTGGGCATCATGGATGGTAATGAACACATATAGCACAATACAATTTTTCTTCCAACTCCCACTGCCGGAAGGGATCTCTTTTTATAGCTCTTCTGTTTTCTGTGAATGAAGCTCATTGAAGTTAATTGACTTTCCCAGGGTCCCCCACGGCAGGAAGTGGAGAGTTGAGTCTGGGGGAGGGGGCACCCAGGTCTCCTGAGTCTACAACACGGAGGTCCACGGTATGCAAATCTGGGCACGGCACCTTTGGGCAGAGCTAATGGGGGAAAATCAGGGCTCCTCAAAGGTACACTGGCTATCATTCATATCTATACATAAAACTCAGATGACTTTTATCCTTGAGAATATCTAAATGTGGCCCGATCTCTGAGTTATAAAAGTCTTAAGTAGACAAGTGAATCTAAGTTTTAAACTTGAAGCAACTCACAGGTGGTCCAGGTGGTCCGGGTCTCCCGGGGGGTCCCTCGCTGCCCTGCATGGAACACACAGCCCAAAATCAATGGCTTAGACATTTCTACCCCAGGTTTATGAACCAGATTGTGCTTGCTCAGAGAGTCACATCTGAAATCGATGTGACTTGTCATTTGGTTTCAGCCTTGCACAGTCTTATTCAGCTTGACTTTTTCCTTCACCTGGGGAACTACATTTCTAGACCACAAGAAAAGTAAATGCGTTTTCCTGCAGGCATTCAGATCCTCACTGTGTGAGCCCACGGGTGCAGCTTATTTTCATTTATTTATTTATTTCAAGAGTTTTAAAACTAAGGTAAATTTCACACACCATAAAATTAACCCTTAATTTTTAAAATTTTTAAAAAAAATTTTTGTGTTTTTTTGGTGGGTAGAGGTAATTACGTTTATTTTATTTATTTGTTTTACTTTAATGGAGGTACTGGGGATTGAACCCAGGACCTCATGCATGGTAAGCATGCGCTGTACCACTGAGCTGTATCCCTCCCCACCAGAAGCTTATCTGTAGATGGAGCTGGACAGCCCAGGTGAGGGTGTCCTGGACTTCTGGTGCAGATGGGGGAATGCTCCTCACTTTGGGGTGCATGGCAGATCTCCTGCAAGCAGGGGCAGCTCGGGGATATGGTCCTCTGGGTCAACTCCTCACTTTTAGCCTCACCTCCACCACCTTCATCTTTTGGGAACAAGAGGGGCCACCCCAAGAATTTGAATGAAGTGGAAAATCACAACTTGCATGGTGTCTGCAGGAAAAGAAACTTTTTCACTTCTAAGTTAATATTAGGCATGTCCCACTGAACAGAAGTGAATGGGGTACAGCGTCAGACATTCTGTTTATATGCAAAGCAGACTGAAAACGAAACTTGTGAAAAAATAAATTCAAGATGAAACCTGAAAAATGGGATTTCCTTCAACACCAGGGGCAAACGACAAGAAATGTCTAATAAAAATCATAAAAAAAAGAATCCAGAGACAGTAAAAGTCTTACCTACCATGCTCATGAATTTTGAGGGATTTTAGTCTATTTTTATAAATTTTGATGAAGGGTTTCATTTCAATATCCCATTTTTTCAGTAACGAAAGAATATTAAAAATCTTTTATTTGTACCTTTACAATAAAAATAAACTGTAACGTTTTTCTCGCGATGTGTCTGCCTGAGGATGGGTGACAATGAGTATACCGCATCTTTTCCCAGACTGCTTTGATGGTGACCATCTAAGACTGCCGGCATGTGTCCTTCAGAAAATTATGTTGTGGTTCTCAACAACCATGAGAGGGCAACAAACAAGGAAAGTATGTGCCCATTGAAAGGACTCACCCCTCCCCCCCCGGCAGAATCAAAAGTCACATTTTCACTCTCAACTGTGCCCCAAAGCTCATCTCAGCGTGGCATTCCCGTTAACTTCAAAAGCAAATAGCGGGCCGAGTAATTTCCACAGAGAACAGAGAGACCAGGCTGTGGGGTTGGGCGGGCTCCCACGGATGCCATCAGAAAAAAATGTGCTGAGACCGTCTAGAATAAGCACACTGTTTCCTTTCAATCTGGGGGGATTCCTTTCCTGTTTAACACCATTATGCCCCGTTTTGGTCAGTTTGGGGTAGAAACCACTTGAGTGGCTCATCTGGACTCTTGATTCTGAGACATCTCTAATCTGAGTAATTAGTCTCTGTGACTCTTTTGTTGGCTCTATCACACCGTGGGTTAGATTCAGATCCTAAATTGGGTAACCATGTGATCTTCCTGCTTAGACTTCTCTTTTGCTGGTCCTCTCTGCCGACCGCAGCAGCCCATCTGTCTGGTCAACGGGACAGCCCAGGAAACAAGCTGTGCTAGCTGTTTGGTGAATTTCCCCTCTGACCTTCAAAGGACAGAACTTTCAGATTTTCTCAGTAAGAGCATCAGTTACTGGAATTTTGGTCCTGAGAGCTGGCGTGCTGTCCGGATCCTTGGCACCTGTGGCCGAACTCCCCATTTCAAACCACCTTCCTGCATCTCATCAGGAGATGCTCACCCTGCCTTTCCACATAGCTGGATGCCTAGGACCCTGCCTCCAGCCTGGACTTTGGCTGTATCGCATCAATGTTCTGTGCATCCTTTCCCCTAGAAATGTACCTTCTGTATTCAGACCAGTTTTTGGATCTAGGTCCTTGAAAGCTGACTACCAGAATAGCGGTCCTCTGACGTCACACCTACTTCGAGGCTTTGTTTGAGTTTATGGGTCTCTCTGTAAATGGTCCCACCTTGCCCCTCCCCCAGCCCCAATTCGGACCAGAGGGGAGGCTTTTCCTCTGTACCTTGTCACCCTTTGTTCCCATGGGACCAGGAAGCCCAGTTCTTCCCAATAAGCCCTGTAAAACACAAAACTAGGTTTGTTACAGAAACCACAACTAAATGGCCAAGGGTAGTGGAAGCTGGTTGCTAAAACGGATACATTTTGAAGGTCATTTGATCCTAATTAAATCAGTCCTGCAAGCTTATATTTTTCAGGCCAATACAGCAGCTGTCTCCTGTTGATAAGCCCTTGGAAGGATAAAGTTTGTATTTGTGGTCACTTTTTTCACCTCAGCCAACCGCATTTAATGACCTTAATTGGACCCTTTAATACATTTAAGAAGTTAGCCTTGCTGTTTAAATGGCAATTTCCATAACATTCTGCCTTCCTAAATGATCTATAATTTTGGTAGTGATCAATATTTTAAATACTTCACATAGAAGGATTAACAATGTGCCTATTGAGTTATGTGATCTGCATTTATACCAATGGAAAATATAATGTAATTTTAATTCTTTGAGAATAGAGTTATCTATAACGTTCATGCTTCCTTTCGTAACTCTTTCTCTTCACTGTTCATTTTAGTGTAGTGGAGAGCTAGGTTTGTTCTGTCTAACTGGTGGAAGCACAAATGGTAGAATTTTAATTATGGGACATTCATGATTCAAAACAGTAAGGAACACAATTACATTCCTACATACCATTTGCAAAGGAACTCTAAAAAGGGAAGAGTTGGAGAAATTGAGGCTTGAGTGGAGTTGCTAGATTGAGAAAATCAAAATACAATATTTGGGACAAACGTGCTAAAAAAGTATTTATTTACATGAAATTCCAAATTTAACTGGCAACCCTAGGTTTCAGCTCTGTTTTATAAGAGATTGGGTTTAGCAGGTGGAAAAGGAAAAAAAGATTCTGTTTTAAGAAAACAGGATAACTGAAGACACAAAAGCCATGATGCTGTGTTTGAGAGAGTGAAAAAAAAAGTGCTGACTGAAATAGAGGGTATTTTAATTCAGAAAGAGGAATTAGTTGACTTTTATCATCCTTGATCCATTTATTTTCTGTCAAGAGAATAAATTCTTAGTTCATGGAGCTTAAAAATGTAAGGCTGTAACCCTCCGAATATGTCTCCCAAAGGTTAATGCCCAAATATAACTAAAAAAGATAATGCACTTTTACATCCAACTGCGATTCATAAGAGACTTGTTTCAGCACAGGTTGCTTTCTGGTCTGGCAGAATTTTCATGACAAGTCTCCACAACCCTGAGCAGCCTTAAGTAATGCTAAACAAAAAAATGTGAGATGTTGGATGTTAATTTTCTAGCCAATAGCTGGATAACCTACATAGAGGAACAAAGAGCAAAAAGCAATGAGAAATGTTAGTTCACCTTGCATTCCCCCAGCAGGTATGAACTGTGAATGAAACAGTTTCAGCAAATACTTACAGGGGGTCCAGTTGGGCCAGGGGCACCTGGGACTCCTGGAATTCCTTGAAGGCCCTAGAAGAGATAGTTCCTGCCATAAAATCGGTTACATTGTTGGAAACAAAGCATTTTAGTTAAGCAAATATTTTGACTATTGAAAGTGAAACACCTATGTTGGTTAATCAAGAAACACAATACTTGTCATAGGCAAACACCCATCTTCACAGTACAAGGATGTGAGCTAAAACGTCAAGACATGGAATCTGCACAGACATAATGTCATGTGTTTGGTGATTCATACAGCATTTCTGATCTCACAGAGCCACTCCATCAGCAGCAGCATCTCTGAGAATCTGGCATTGCTAATGCATGGAAATACACATTTCAGACGAACAGAATCCCACCAAAGAAGTACATGATTACACTAACACTTCATTCAGCTGGTGGAACAATGGAATATGTTTTATGCTACAATATTTAATTCAGCTGGCCAGTCATTATAAGAAATTTGGCTCATGGGTGAATTTAAATTTAGAACCCTTCAATGGCTTCAGCATAAAAGTGAGCAGACTCTCCCTCCCCTCCTTAGAGTTGTAGCAGGATGCTGATTGTACTGGATATATTTATATATTCAAGGAAGAACTGATAACTTGTGTAATTAATCTTCCTTTACCAAGTATGTCAGCGACAGAATATTAGTTAAATTACCTAAAACCCATATTATGAAATATTTTGCAACGATTAAAATCATCTTCCAAAAACTATTGGATAATGTAGAAGACAAGTTATAAAATGTTATGTAGAGTAAGGTCCAAATTATTAAAAAAAATTATAAATGCACTTCATGAAAGACAAGACTCAAAGAGGCTCATAGTGTCTTATCTGGAAACTTTAGTGTCAGATGGGTTTCCAAGCTCTGCATTTTCAGATCTGTTATAAAGGGAACACAGTGCTCACACTGGGTATTACATAACGCTCTCAGAGGTAACTGAGACACCGCCCTCTAATACACACATTTCTATAGCGAAACGTATGATATTCTCACCAAGTGGGGTAAATAGACTAGCTCCGTAAGACTTCAGGTCAGATTCTGCTGCCAAATAAATTTTCTGCAAATTTGGGGAAAATTTCCCAGGTTTTCAGAAGCTTTTGAGCTTTGAAATTGTGGGTGTGGGGTTGTGGGCCATCCATCATCTTACTGTAACCAACAGTCCTCCTTGACAAGTACAAGTAGGAATCACTTTTATCTTTTCAGGGCTTTTGTGTCTTTCCCAAATTTTCTATCGTAAAACAGATGACTTCTAGAATAAGAAAAATATACTTTTCAACACCCACTTTTTATTTCAGTTAACCATATGATGTATTGAGTTCTATTCGGAAGAACAGTTCCATTTTTTCGGGATTTCATTTTCTTTACCTAGTAAGCCTTTTATATTGCCAAACCACTCATTGTTATAATAAAATTCCTCTACCTTGGACTGTGATGAAACATGCATTTTATACGCACTCTAACTTTCAGGTGATGTGACCATGGTAAAATGACCACAAACTTATTTATAAGAGCTCTAGAGGACCAAGGTTCTATCGAGTCAAGGTTCTTTGCATCAGCAGAATCAAGAACCACACTCTGCAGGGTCTGTCCATCTAATGCCTAATGGGATCATGTGTTCCTTCAGGGTTTTCCATGTGATGGGAGGTGAAGACGTGCTGGGAAGATTCTCCCTGAATGTGCTGAAATCCCTCATGTAATGAAGAGTCTTGGGGAGAATCTTATGTATACTTGTGTTAAAGGATGTGGACATAGACTTTCTTCAAGTTGATATCATTCTCACTAGCAATGCTCAGTGTGTGTGTGTTGTGTGTGCATGTGTGTGTTGTGTGTGCACGTGTGTGTGTTTGGACTGTACACATTATAGCATGTTGCCTCGACACTTTGGTTCCCCACCTAGTAACTTGTTTATGGGTTGATAAGTGGAAAAGAAACAAATTTCCTCTGGGAATGACACCTCTAAATGTCTGGAGATTATAAATGCTATAGCACACATTGCTTTATCTCAAAATACCCACATTTCCCTAAAATTCTCTCTGTATGGACATGTATAAGATGTGCATGTTCATATGTATTCTTCTTTGGTGGGGGCTACTTTCAGTCTCAACATGGAGTCAGCCTAGAGATGCTGAGTGAGACTTTAGGTAGTCTAATTTTGAAGCTCGGGACTCATTAACCTTTGATGACCACATTAAACTTTAAAATAAACCTCAGTTCATAAATAAAAAGAAATCATTCTTGGCAGTCTTTCTCTGCACAAGCTGAAATTTGGCAGTAAGGGTAGAAGTTACTGTGGGTGTAGAAAGGGCAAGAAGATAATTTTCGAAGACAAGAAGGTCATTAAAGAAGACAAATACATATTGAAGAGGAGGACAGTCCGTTTAGCCTAGAGTGCCAAACTAAAACACGAATTAAAATCTATTGCATACATATTCAAGGGTCATTAGAGCTAAGTTCTTTCCCTGCTCTGATATTTTTATTTTTGCAAGTCCTAGCTCAGTTGCTACCAAGAATACTTATTTTCCCATTGCTATAATTTATGGCTGACAGTATTTTTTGAGTCTATTTATCAATTATTACTCTGAAATATTGTAGGAGGGCCTGCATTCCAAGTAAGAATTTCCTCTGACTATTAGAGGGGAGTCTGTGTTCTGTTAGCATCTTACACGTTGCCAACTTTTGTGAAACAATACCTGTAAAAACTGTAGAGGATAATGTCACTTTTGTAAAGAGCAACAGGCAGGCAGTTCCTCTCTTTAAATCCCCAAATGGATTAAACTGATAATCAGATCATTATTAAATAATAATTGGAAATCCTCAAAGAGAAAGGGTGTCCCTGTGCATCTTTTCCACTAAGTGTAGAACAGACATCTCAGATCCCGTGAGATTAGATATTATGTGCACGTTGAAATAGTATAGTATATCAACCAGTTGGAAATGCACATGTTCTTGGTCAAAGTTGCATTCACTTAAGCAAATCAACAAATTGAACTTTCAGGGAGAGGGGTGGGGTATAAGTCAGTGGTAGAGTACACGCTTAGCATGCACAGGATCCTGGGTTCAATCCCCAGTACCTCCACTAAAAAAAAAAACAAAAAACAAAAGTTCATGGAGTATCGGAGTCCACGTAGAAGTCAAGGTAATTTCAGTATTTCCCATCTGCCCGAGAGGGAAAAGGTGCGTTGCCCCCTAGCCCCGCTTCCAAGAGGCCCAGCGGAGTTAGTATGTTACTTCAGGCTCGTTCATACAATTCATGGGACGTGAAGAAACAATGGGAAGGAACCTCCTTCGGAGCCAGCTGGAATTCCCATATAGCAAGTCTCTCACCAGGTCTGCGGACAGTGCCTCAAAGAATCCCCAAGGGACACTTAAGAAAGAACACACTGAAACTGTGGAGGAACTAACGAGGGATTTCACTTCACCAGGAGAGCTAAGGATCCTGAAGAATCAATAAAAGTTAACCTCTAATAAATTTAATTTAGAGTCACTTATAAAAAAACCTGAATCCAATTATTTCCTGATCTTTTTGTTATTACCTTCTCAACTGCCTTTAATGCCTCCTTCTTGAGTCTCGGCAGTTAAAAGCTGTTAGGCTGTGAAAACCAGACACTGAGCTTGTACTTCCTGCAGGGCAGGGAGATGCAACAGCTCCGTGACCCTTCCTATTTTGGAAATAAAATGCCTTCACTTTTATTTATGGATGAAAATAAATGGTATTTTTCTTTACTCTTCAATTTCGAACTTAGGAAAAAAAAAACCCACAAGCAAATCGTCATAGTTTCCTTGACGCGAATCAGTATTAATTAAAAGCAATATAGATGATCATTTATAAGGGGAAACAGAACTCCAACTCAAAAAGTAGATCTACTTGGTAACATGCTTTTCTGCACTAACATCAAGGTTAATATATGCCAGATGGCGCACTTACCTTCATTAAGAATTATTAGTACCAAAACTGTTTAAACTAACAACAATTCATCATCCTAATTGGTTTTTCTAAGCGTTAATGTGAATTATGTAGGAAAGAATGCATCAGTGTGGCTGAGAGTCAGAAAATTATGCCGCCATCTCAAAGGCACATTTGACTTTGAACCTTAGTGGAAGAGTGAGCAGCTGATTTAAACCAGTCCAAGCAGACCCTTTTGATAGACTTTTTTTTTTTCCTCCCGAGTTTGAAAGTTGAGCAGGGATACAGACAAACCAAGGTCGCTGAAGTTGAGTCACGTTCCAGCAGTGAACCAGGGAGGTTCTGCTGGGTCCTGGGGCTGCCCTCACGCCTAAGCTGGTTGTTAACTGTTCTTTCAATTCTAGGAGCTATGCTGGGATTCTTTTCAGTAAATCTCCTTTTCCTCTTTCTCCTTGCTTTTCATCTGGAGAGAGCTAGAATGGTTACCTGCTACAGGAAAACAGAAACATTGGTCCCTGATAGGTTAACTTTGTGTCTTAATTTCCTTGTCTCACAGACTGGCCCACTGATAATAGACATCAACTTATTATTATTTACAATGGGTTAACATTTGAAAAAATCCTACCTGAGTCTTTAAAAAAACTTTTTTATCTTTTTACTTTTTAAAAACGTGTTTAGCATTGAACATGAATTATAGAAAAATGGATGTCCCTCTGTGGAGTCACATGAAAAGAACCATAAGTACTATATATAAGATAGATAACAAGTTTCTCCTGTAGAGCACAGGGAACTATATTCAACACCTTGTAATAACCTATAATAAAAAGGAATATACGTTGTGTATACGTATGACTGAAACATGCTGTACACCAGAAATTGACACAACACTGTAAACTGACTGTACTTCAAGCAAAAAATTTATCAAAAAGAAACAATAGTAGGACTATATGATCGGATAAGAGCCTTTTACCTCATCGCCTTTCTCCCCAGGGATCCCGGGGTAGCCCCGCTCTCCTTTGCTCCCCTAGAAAGACAACAAATTCAGCTAGTACACTCAATCATTTTGTCATTTTTTGGAAAAATGAAAAGATCTCTTCTCAGGACACTCAGGGCATGTAATCCGGATAGGATCAGGGAACAAATAAATGACATCTGCAAATGGCTTTTCTACCACTTTTCCAAAATATTTTTAGAAAAAGTAGTGTATTTGAAAATGTTTCCTTTTTTTCCACCCCAAATTAAAGGCTGCACAGAGGAGAGACTTCCTTACCTTTGGTCCCTCTCTGCCTGGGATTCCTGGAGGACCCCGTGGCCCTGTATCACCCTGGAGGACAGACCAAGGACAGCTGAGAGGAGGCACCACGTGTAACCTACGGGGTCCACCCGCACTCAGCCTTCTTACCTTGTGGGCTATAGAATCGAACTTTCCAGGCTCACCAGTGCCTGCATCTTCTCCTTTGTTGCTTTTCAGCCCAGGGACACTGGCTTGGCAGTTGCCACAGAAGTTCTAATGAGGATAAAGGTAAGGTCACTGAGAGATTCGTCCAAGTAATTGATCAAAGCAAGCTTTGATCAAACTTGACCTTCTGTTTGAACTTTTGTGAGAGCTGAGTAAAGGCCATTGTTATGTCACTCTACTTTCAGAAACTGTATTTACACAATTTGAAAGATAACTTGGGGGTGGGGAGGGTATAGCTCAGTGGTAGAGTGTGTGTTTAGCATGCACAAGGTCCTGGGGTCAATCCCCAATAACTTCCTTAAAGTAAAACAAAATAAGTAAATAAAACTAATTACCCCCAACCCATAAAAAAAATGGAAAAAAAAAGAAAGATTACTTTTGTGGAAGTAAAAATGATTTTAAAAATTGAAAAAATAAAATAAATTTTAGTAAAATTGAAACAAATACTGGGTCAAAACAGTTCTCTTGATGGTGGTCCCTCTTAGAGCTGGAATCTATGAAAAGAGGCTGGAGTGTGCAGTGTTTCCCACACTAGTTTTACCACCAGGATCATTTCACAGGCCTAATGTGTTGGTAAGGGAGTTAAAAATACATATATAATTGTAGAACCACCCCTATTAAATCTGAAAAACTATGAAGGCAGAGAGATGCCTGAAGACCTAAGAGCACCAGAAAGGTTTCCATATTTCAAAAAGTATAAAGAAGATGAATTATTGTACCTGTAGACATAGCATGGTGCATCAATATATACATAGTCACATTTTGGATTGGATTATTCAATTGATTTTTTAAATTGAATTATGGTTGATTTACAGTGTTGTGTTAGTTTCATGACTGTTTTAATAAAACATAAAATGGTAATAATTACGAGTCAATAGAATTTTCTAGAGTCACTTCAAACTGACCTCATCTTCTTTATGTTGGGGTGACCAGAAGGGTAAATGAAGGAGAACTGGATTTCACTAAAGTTTTTGAAAAAGTATCTCAAGATTTTCTCATGGAGGGTATAAAGATGCATCAATATTTGTCTAATGCACAGTCTTATTCCAAGAGGGACTGATACACAAATTAACCCAGAGGAAGGTCTTTGAAGGTCTACATCGTTCGGGCCTGAGATTATAAGTCAGTTCCTTTCAACGCTTTAATCAGACATAGTTTTTCAAAATGAAAAGCAGGATGATCAAGTCTGCTAAAGACTCAAGATAGAGAAGGAGAGTTCATGTGTTGGGTAATGATGTTAGGATTATAATTACACCGTGAGGTTGGCCCAAAAGATCCAACCCCCAACTGAAGTTCCCATATGCTTTGGGAAAACACAAGCTTCCTCTTTCGATTGAATGCAGCTCATTGGGACTATCAGTCCAGGTGTCCACCCCACCTCTTGCCAATTGGCTCTCCTGGGGCTCAGAACTTCCGTGAGGTGAAGCTGGGACAGGCAGATGGCAGAGGCATCTGTTAGAGGGATGTGGCCTTGGGGAAACCAGCCATCACTTGCATGTCCGAGGCCTTTGGAGCCCTGGTTCCTTTCCCTGTCAGAGCCTGTTCACAATCTTTCTGTCTGTGCTGTCCCACATTCTATCAGGGTACTCAGTATTTTTTTTTTTTTTGGATCCTGAGAGTGAAGGACCCTAACTGCTCCAGACTGAAATAGCTCCTACAGTCCCACCATTTACAACACGGCTGCCCTTGTGAAGAACATGAGACTTACTGGCTGAGGACCTGTGCTCCTGTGCTAATGTCACTGTGTTACTAGCTGTGTGACTCCGTGCAAGTTACTTGACCTCTCGGAATTTAGGTCTCCTGTGCACAGAGTAGGGAAACACCACGGCCTGAACTCATAGGATTCTTGTGACTATTAAACAAGTAAAGCAGTGCATTGCCTGGTGTAAAATTGTAACTCAGTAAATACAAGATCCTTCTGAAATCCCCATCAACATTCTTTTCTGACTTATGAGAAAATGTTGGCTTTGGAAGGTCTTAAAAATCCCTCCATTTTTATATTTAAATTCATATTTACATTTACATATACTACTCTCAAAACCTTAATCACCTAACATATATACATATATGTACATATATATATATATATATATATATATATATATATATATATAACTAAAATTCTACAGTCTTGTGAATTCAATCCAACAAATATTCTTGCCTGCCTACTATTGTGTAAGTCATTGTGTAAATTATTGGGCTGAATATGAGGAATATAAAATAAATCACATGTACACACATATAGCCCAGGTGTGTGTGTACAAATATCCACTGTCCATTCATATACAGATAATATGTATAAAGTTTGAGTGTAATTAATATAAAGGGACAGATTTTCATTTGGGTTCCGTCTTAGCCTACCACAAAGAAACATGCAAATACATAACCTCCAGGGCCCTGTAATCATCCACCCCCATCTGTTTTACAAATAAAAGAGAGGGGAGTATTAGAGACAAAAAAATGGTAGCAAGATGCATTCCCTATGAGGTGGCTAACAGGTGGAGATCATTTTGATTTAACAGAGTAACAGGTGTTTGTTAGGGCAATCATCAGCTTTGGAATTTTGTAACTCACTTTTTAAAATCCCATGACATAAAAACTCAGCCTTGCAAGCTTGCTGGTTACTGAGCAGCACGGTTTTTCACCCTGGACTGGCTCGAGCAGATATAGTGATTGGGTTTCCCGGTGGTGAGCTGGGTGGGTGAACACCATTAAGGGAAATCTATTTCTCCAGTGGAGAGAAGGGCCTCCTTAAGGGTGTTCATGACAGTGTTCCTCTCCTGCAGCTCATCCCGGAACTGCCCTCTCCTCCCCTGCTCCCTGCTCTTCCCCTCCACAGCCCCAAAGAGAGGCTGGTAAGGAAGAGAGTGGAGGGGTTAGTAAAAATGGCACAAGGCACATAAAGATCCATGTTCCCTTTTGTATCTGAAAGATGTTCTGCTGCTAAAAAACAAAATTTGATTTCAGGCTAAGCAATTTACTCAAATTCTGGTAAAGATCTGCTTTCTGATTTATCCTGGAAATTAACACATCATTTTTTTACCTTGAACAAGGCCCCGATGTCTCCCAAGAGAGGAAGTGCAATCTGTGTTTAAGGAGAAAAAACCAAATACACGTATTCATACACATGTGGGCACATGGTACAACAAACGTACAATAAAGGGAGATATTTTCCCACAAAAGACCAAGCCAGTTGGGATTTAACATCATGGGGCTCCTAAGAGGCTCACCATCAGAATGATTGGCTTAACATTATGTGTCAAATCCAGAAACAGACACATGGCACTAACAGAATTCATAACTATTTTTGAGAGATAGCCTTGATTTCTCTACCAGGAACACATATTTCATTGTTTCCACTCTGAATCTCTGTTTTATATTTTCATGACATGGTAACCTTCAAGCCAACCCTAGAATATTACTAGTTTTAAATCATACATAAAGATAAGTCATTTATAACTAGGAAAGCATTCCTCTGCAGAGCAAATCATCAGGCTGTTGAAAAATACGCAAAGTACAGGATGAGTCTGCCTTAAAGCTATTTCTCATTGAAATTCAAAACAGCCTCTAGGTGGCTTAGGTGATGGGCAGGACTGATACCGAGGGATATCGGGCGTGTTTTGGCCCATGTCTTAAGGCGTCCTTTCAGAGAGACACTATAAACCCAGGTAACACTTTATAAGATCCCAAGATGATACACACATGATTCACTCAGCGTGAAGTGAAAGGCCAAAATATGCCTCTGCACATAGCTTATAAAGGCCCACGAGGCCCTAACAGTGTGGGAGGAAGAAGGATTAGAGAGGCTTAGAACTGAGAGGCCAGATTTGGAATTTATTATACAAAAACTCTTAATACAATGTCATGTACTATATGGCTTCTCAAACTATAACTGCCGATTCTTAGGCTATATAAAGGGATTTCACTGTCGCTCAAAGCAAAGTTTAACCTAAAATAAAACTTTGGAACACACGTTTAGTGCCTAAGTTCATCTTTAGACAGCCGACTCAAGCCAGTTTTTGTAATTTAATCATCTCAGCATTTTAAAGCCACAGAATCAATAAATAGGCACAATATTGTACGAAACTTACTTGCAAACTTTCACTTAGAAAAATGAAATTCATTTAGTCCTTAGCATTAGAAAGAATAGAATCTGTGGCAATGTATTTTAATTCAGTTTTCCATGGGATTGAGACATTCTATGCCAAGGCTCAGCCTGGGGCAAAACTGTACAACTGAATTATACCCTTAGGAAATAAGTATTCATCACACACACAAAAATGCTGATGTAGCTTGAATTTTTTCCCTTCTACAAAATAACGGGGATAAACAAAACCACCAAGCAGTCACTGAACACTCTAATTAGTTTGGACAGCAAAACCTGCAAGGTAGGCTGTTTGGTTTCTGGGTGCATTAAAGACACATAAATCACACAGAGTCTGTCAACATACCGGGTCACCTGGGGGGCCTGGTGGACCTGGCTTTCCATCTCTTCCTGGAGCTCCCTGAAAACAGAAGCATCGTGTTCAAATCTTTGTACGTTGACACAAGTGTAGATTAAAATGGGTTGGAGGAAGAGGAAAAGTAGGTAAAAGCCATCCTTACGTCATTCCCTGGGGTCCCTGGAGTTCCTGGCAACCCAGGGAGACCTCGAGGACCCTGGAAAAGGGGGAAGTAGTTACTTATAAGGACAGTCTTTTGGTAACCCCCCTGTCCCCCAGGTCAGCAAGATGGATTTGTTGTGCCAAATGACATTAATTAGCTTACCTGAATGCCTGGCTCTCCAGCCGGTCCTTGGGAGCCCTGAGTGGAAGGAGGTTCAAAGATCAGAATCCTGCCTGGAATGTCCATAAATTATCCAAGTGGGATAAAGGGCTGAGTATTGTGACTTATTTAGTGGAGCAGCAGGGATTGCCACCATGCACAATCTGACAACTCTCTGCAAAGTTGGCCAAGACTTCTGGGCAGCAGGTGAACACCTGACCGATGGCAGTCTGGCAGTAGCACCACGGCTGTGCTTGGATGCCTGGGACGTCGCCCTCAGCACCACCATCACCCGTGCTGCTCTCGAGGGCACCAACAGCACCCTCAACTTCTAGCTGGCTGCCCACAGGGTAATCGGCTTCCCTTCCTTTCCGCTTTTGGCTGCAATTCATTTCTCTGAAGAAATTGGCAGTAAAACCACTCAGTCATTCTTTTCTATGTTAGAAAACTGGAATCTGGGGTAACTAAAATGAGGCTGGGAGATCATCAAGACACCTAATGATGACAGGATCCCCCCCAACACATGACCGTGGGCCACTGGATGAGGAAGTGACCGACCACTTAGGTAAGTAAAGAGCCGGGTTCTCAGCACCTGACTGCAGTACCTGCTCACTGCCTTTTCCCTTCTTATTTTTCAAATTAAATATTCATATCACTGCCATTGTCAAAGCTACTTTCTTGCTTTCTTTCTATTTACATCATGTCCCTAAGTTATTTTTTGTTTGTTTGTTTACTTTTTGCTCCAATCTCCTTCACTCCCCTCATCATTTCCTGATTTACTGTTTTACTTTGTTTAATCTCCCATCTCCAGTGGTCTTTATGTTCTTGCCCTGGAAAATCAAACACCAGTCACACAAAATATAAATATGCATTATGACGCCTTGTTTACTTCTCATGGTAATTCCATTTCAAGGCCAATTCCCAAATTAATGGTATCAGAGTAACCATTTATTTCTACTTTTCTTGTCCCAAAATCTTCTATGTTTTCTCATAGTAATTAAAAAGTTTTATCTCTTGTTGCTATTTAGTCCGCAAGAATGCATATAATAGCCATTACTATCATTATTATCCTTATAGCTAAAACACATTTTAAAAACTGCCCATTATTTGTCTTAACTATCAAAAACAGATTCCATTCTCTCTTCTCTAAGATATCACATAGAGATTTTTGATATCATCTCATTTATACATCCTCCATTCACTTTAAAATTAATTTTTCATTTTACTCTATTTACAAACAGTAATATATAATCACCTAAAACTAGGCATTCTCATAATCTTACAAACATGCATTTGTACTTTTTAACATAGAGAATGGAGGAATAGAGGGTTAAATCACTTCTAATTCAAAATCAGTGTCTGTGTGATTAGCATCTGTAAGTCAATAAACAGTGGGTACCCTCTGTGCCTAGGATGTAACCACAATGCCCATTAATTCTTGCCCTTTGACTGGTGTTCATTTTGTATTTCCTCCTCTGACTATTTCACTCTTTTTTCCTTGTTGAACTTTATCACCGGATTTTATTTCACAATCGGGTCAACAGAGTTTCAAAAGCTTGATTGAATTTCACTTACCGTCCGGCCAGGAATTCCAACCCCTGGTGGGCCTTTGTCACCTGGGGAACCGTGGACACCTGGCAGTCCTCTTTCCCCCTGTGCAATGAGATGCTTCTGTCAGTGCGAGGCTCCGGGGACGTGAATTTTCCAGTTACATTTTGTTAATTATTAATTCTTTAAAAATTATCTTTGGTATTTTACCTTTGGCCCTCGTGGACCAGGTGCTCCAGGATTTCCATCTAATCCCTAGAAGAAAAAGAAGAAAAAAAATGAGGTGAATACACTTTTTTTTTTTTGAAAAAGTTTAAATACGTCTCAGAAGTCATAACTCAAAAATGTTTCATTGCTTTTCATTTTTGAATAAAACTTTTTCTGTGAAATAATAAGGAACAGGGAATACAAATTTCACTAGGTTATAGATTTTTGTATGGTCACTTAAAAATACAAGAAGTTTTCATCTTTAAAATGAAGCATCTGATGTTGAGAACTATTTATTATTATTAATATAAAGGTCAAAGGGGATGAGAAAAAAAGGCATATGAAACAGACCTATGAGTTATGGGTTAGGTCTTCCATAGGTTTTCTATGTCCTGGGATTAGCCCAGGCCACAAGGATGTTTTCTACAGATGATCACCTGTGGCTGTATGGGCAGAGCCTCTGGAAGGGAAATTTCAGGCAGTTCTTCTGTTTTATGCTATTGCCCAAAGAAAGTTTATGGTTTAAACTAGCATACCTTATTAAGCATCATAGATTCCTAAAGAATCCATGTAGAAGATTCAGGGAGGCCTATGAATCTTCCAAAATTGTACGTAAAATGGTGCATGTTAGTGCATTTTCTTCAGAAGAGAGCCCTTTGCTTGCATCAAATTTCCAAAGAGATTAGCTTTCTGATCTAAAGAATAAGATGGGGGGGGATGCATATAGCTCAGTGGTAGTGTGTGTTTAGCATGCACAAGATCCTGGGTTCAATCCCCAATACCTCCATTAAAAATTAATAAATAAACCTAATTACCCCCCATACACAAAAAGCCATCAAAAACTAAAGAATAAGAGGAATACTTATTTTTCTGCAGATCTCCACTTATTCCTATACCTGTGATCTGAAACTGGGAACATACAAATGGTAATTAATCAACTTTCTAAGGAAATATTTAGCAAAAAGGCTGGTACTTACTGGTTCCCCAGGCAGGCTTTTTCCTGAAGGACCAGCATCACCTTTTGGACCTGGAAGTCCAGGAGGGCCTATGATCCCACCTGGATCTCCCTGAGGAAACAAGATAAGATTCTCACTTCATTACAAGGTTCACAGTGGGAGGTGTGGAGGCAGTGGGTTCTATTGTTTTAAGTTGTCATCATAGCAATACTTCATTCTCTCATTCATGCATTCACTCGTTCCACAATACATACTAAGTGTCCAATCCATGCTGGATACTGTTCTAATTATTATAAGTGCACCTAGATCTTGGCTGAGCTAGGTTACAGTAAGTTTATAGTCTCGTGAAACATATGTGTATAAATACTTGCACAAAAGGACAAATTCATAGAGTTCTTTAGATAACCTTTATATTTTCTCTAAGTTATTTCTAAGTAATGGCTCAATATTAATATACTATTTCCATGTAGACATAAAGAAATAGGTCCTGAGAGATTGAGACTCCTTGGGTCTATACCTGAGTTGTTAGCTGAGCATGAAACAGACTTTTTGAGTCCTGAGATCTTCATCTCTAAGGTAGTTTATTTTGTCACACTGTGTTTCAGTGCCAGAACTGGGCTCCCATAGTGTAAAACTCCAGAGATGCCATTCATGCCAAAGTTTACTTGAATATCTATCCCTGCACTGGCAGGGATATCCTGTAGCCTTATCCTATCTTCTTACTTCCCCAATGTCCTTATGACCCTCTGTCTCTTCCTCCTACTCAGTGATGTAATATACAAAGTGAGTGAAATGGGAGCTATACCTTTTCTCCTTTAGTGCCTTGTTTTCCTGGGATACCGTGTTCTCCTGGCAATCCCTAGAAAATTCAGAATTAATGAGAGAGAGCAATTAGAACATTGCTTAATGTAATAACATTTCTATCTGTGAATCTTTGTCAGTAGAACAGAATTTTAATTTAAATTCTGTTTAATTTAAATTTAAATTTTAAATTTCTAGAAACATACAACTTTCTTGAATCAGGACAAAACAGAAAATCTGAACAGAGCAATCACTAGTAGTAAAATTAAATTTGTGATAAAAAAATACAGCAAACAAAAGTCTAGGACTGGATGAATTCACAGGGGAATTTAGCCAGACATATAAAGAAGAGCTAATACTAATCGTTCTCAAACTATTTCAAAAAATTGAAGTGGAGGGAATGCTCCTAAATTCATTCTATGAGGTCGCCATTACTATGATACAAAAACCAGACATAATGCAACCTGAGGACACTACAAAAAAAAAATTACTGGCCAATATCTCTGATGAATCTGGATGTAAAAATTCTCAAAAAATATTAGCAAACTGAATTCAACAGTACATAAAAGGGATCATACATCATGATCAAGTGAGATTTATTCTAGCAATGCAAGGATGGTTTAATATCTGCAAATCAATCAATGTGATACATATTTACAAATGGAAAGATAAAAATCACATGATCATCTCAACAGACACAGAAAAAGCATTTGACAAAATTCAACATCCATTCATGATAAATGCTTATCTAAGAGTATAAAAGGAATATATCTCAACATAATAAACATCATTTATGACAAACCCAAAGCTAACATCATACTCAATGGTGAAAAGCTGAAAGCATTTCCTTTAAGATCAGGAAGAAGCAAGGATGTCCACTCTTGCCCCTTCTATTCAACATAGCGTTGGAAGCTATAGCCAAAACAATCAGACAAGAAAAAGAAAAAGAAAAAAAAATCCAAATTGGAAGGGAAGAAGCAAAACTGTCACTATTTGCAGATGACATAATACTATACATAGAAAACTCTATAAAGTTTCCACCAAAAAACTATAAGAACTAACACGTGAATTCATTAAAGTTGCAGGATATGAGATTCATATACAGAAATTTGTTGTTTTTCCATACACTAACAACAAACTATCAGAAAGAGAAAGCAAAAAAAAAAAAAAAAAAGGAAAACAATCCTGTTTAAAATCAAATCAAAAAGAATAAAATACCTAGGAATAAACATAACCAAGGAGGGGAAAGACCTGTACTCTAAAAACTATAAAACACTGATGAAGAAAACTGAAGAAAACATAAAGAAAGGGAAAGATAACCTATGGAATGGTAGAAAATATTTGCAAATGATATGACCAATAAGGGGTTAATATAAAAATATATAAACAGTTTGTACAACTCAATATTAAAAAAAAACCCAATTTCAAAAAATGAGCAGAAGACCTGAATAGACATTTTTCCAAAGAGGACACACAGATGTCCAACAGTCACATGAAAAATGCTTAGTATGGCTAATCATCAGGGAAATGCAAATCAAAACTCCAATGAGATATCACCTCATACCTGTCAGAATGGCTACCATCAACAATTCCACAAATAACAAATGTTGGTGAGGGTGTGGAGAAAAGGGAACCCTAGTACACTATTGATGGGAATGTAGATTGGTGCAGCCACTGTGGAAAACATTATGGAGATTCCTCAAAAAACTAAAATTAGAACTACTGTATGATCCAGCAATTCCACTCCTGGGTATGTATCCAAAGTGTTCCTGATAGCATTATCTATAATTACAAAGATATGGAAGCAACCTAAGTGTCCACCAACAGAGTGAATAGATAAAGAAGTGGTATATATACACAAGGGAATACTACTCAGCCATAAAAAGAATGAAATCTGCCATTTGCAACAATGTGGATGGGACCTAGAGGATATTGTGCTTTATGAAATAAGTCAGACAGAAAAAGACAAATATACTGTATGTTATCACTTATATATAGAATCTAAAAAATAAAACAAATGAATAAATATACAAATACAGAAACAGACTTACAGATCTAGAGAGCAAACTAGTGTTTATGGGTGGGTAGAGGGAAGGGGAGAGAGACAAGATGGGGTAGAGGATTAAGAGTTACAAACTACTGTGTATAAAATTATGAAGCATGAAGGATACATGGTATAACACAGGGAATATAGCCATTATTTTGTAGTAACTTTAAATGGAATATACTCTATAAAAATACTGAATCACTATTTTCGTACAACTGAAATTGATATAGTATTATAAATCAACTATACTTCAATACCTCAATATAAAAAGGAAAAAGTGCATTTAAAGGGTGCGAGGGTGTGTGTGTCTGTCTCTGTGTGTATGTGAGAGAGGCAGAACTGTGAGCCTACTAAAGCTAGGTTATAATGCAACCTGAGGACCTTTTTACAACAGCATTATATAAGTATTTTCAGCTAAAAGACTTGCCCTTTTTGGTAAATGTTGCAAGAAAACAACTGAAGCTCTGGAATTGTTTTTCTTGGATGCAGAATTGAACCACAAGCCATGTGTAATGATGTGTCATAGAAATGCTTGCTTTCTGCCATGGTTTTCTTTGTTCCTTTGGAGGTTTACCAATTTCCTCTACTGTTGATACACCACTGACTAGTGTGTCCAAAATGATAATTTAGTGAACTTGAGTTCCAAAGATTGATTTTTTGGGATAATAATATTCAAAAGGACCTCCCATGAATATATGAAGACACTAGACTTCTCAATATCCCCTGACCTTAGGTGTGATCAGTTTTAGTGGTGGAGATGACCCATGACTTTGGAAAATGTAGAACAACTCAGTCACATGAAGAGATATTGACATTCTTTAAAACATGCTTAGTCTCAGTTTAGTTTCCAAGTATCAAAGACTCACGCATCTACTATACATACAATATTTCCTGGTGGTCCTCTGGGTCCCATAGGGCCTGCAGGTCCTTGCTGACCCTATAATAGAAGACGATATGGACTTTAACTTTGCTGAAAAGTGGATTGCACCTGAATATATGTAAAACATGATGCGACCTTTATCTAGAGAAAGATCAAGTTTTCCCCCATCCAGCTTCCTCTGTATAACACCGAAACGTGCTTTGGGCTTACAAAGATAGTTTCAAGATGTTGTCATTTAAATGGGTCTGTTCTCCCCAGCAGGTGAGGCCTGGACAACTTGCTTTACCCACTGGGGAGGACACAACACATTACTCTCTTGCATGCCTCCTGGTCTTCTGTGGGACACTCCTGTGGAATCCCACATGGGCAATTCAAACATTTCTGGGCTGCATAATTTTGGCTTAGAAATGGAATCCTGAATCCTGTTCTCTTCAGGAATTCAGTGCAGATGTAGGGCACACTGTTTTCTTTTAAAGCTTTGCGAGTTACTATCATGAATATGTTCTGAAAAAGAATGTAAAAATCTCATTGTGATCCAAAAGGCATAATTACCATGTGTGTAATCAATGCAGCCAATGGGGAGGGAGGGCATCACCATGGAAACATGATAAGGCCTCTGAGAACATTTGTGATGAAGACAAGTGGTCCATAAGAGTTCCTTGTTTTACATAAGAGATGGCTGTAACTTCAAGATAATTTCCTCATTTGTCTCTCTTGTTTCTTACATACCTTTAGTCCTGGGCTTCCTATTGTACCGGGGGGACCGGGATCTCCAGGCTCTCCCTACACACATGGGTGGGAAGCAAAGTGAAATGGTGACTTTAATTTTCACAATCTCATCAGGTTGGAGATGCGAGTGAAGGGTGTCAGGAGATTACCTTTATTCCCTGTGATCCTGTTAGCCCAGGTTCTCCCTGTAAATGAAATAAATAATCACCTTATACGTAATGCTTAAATTCAGATGAGAAGAGCATCTCTAATACCAGAATTCATCTACATTTCCACTGGCTGACATACAATAAAAGGGGAAATTATGGAAGACACGGTGAAGTCAACGATGGTTCATTCTAAAACGTGGTTTAAAATACTTATTGCTAATAAATAAACAACTTCTTATTTTTCTTTCTGCTTTCTAACAGTTTCTTCCCAGTGTCACTTTTGACACTGGTATCATCATGGTCCATTAGCAATCACTGCATTCTCTGCTGATACTGTGATGACTTGCCACCAGCTAATCCTGTATCTCAGAGAACTAAAACTTCAGAGGCAGGTTGAAAAGAAAGAGTAGAATTCAAGCTGATGTGTCATGGAGATTCTACTATCAGGTAGAACATTTAATATTTAACGAAACAAAACATAGAAAATGTTAAGGTTATGAAAAAGAGGACAATGTTGGCTACAGTGAGCTGGATTTTCTTATTTTCCATGACTTATCACTGATCCACTTGATAAAATCATCCTGTTTGATACATCCAAATATTGCATCATTAACAGGATCTTTAGAAAAAAATCTGTATCTTATATGTTAATTTTGTATTTTAAATATCCTAAGTGTATATCTTTCATCACATTTCATGTCCAATCACAAATAGTAACGGGTTAAAGAACATATCCACTGCCCAAAACAAGTGTTAAAGTGTCATCACATGATAAAATGTAACAAGGCTTACAATTTCTCATTTATCAAAATAAAAGAGTCAAAATTCACCAAAGAAAAAGTAAAAATGCTCAGGGAGCTTATTTGATCAAATTTATTAGACTGTAAAGTAAACATACTAGAAATCAGAAAGAACGAAATCAATCAAGTAGAAAACCCAAGATAGTGATAACACTTCCACTTACTCTGTCTCCCTTTTCACCTTTGGTAAAGGGTTCCCCCTGGGAAAATGGGTAGAAAACAGAATCAATTATAAACGCTTTTAGAAATAATCTCTCCAAAACTGGAGGAGGATCAATCCTGCAGGCCAAACTCAGGCCTCCATTGCAAATGTGCCTCTGACATGATCTAGAATGTCACACAGTCTGCCTGTGCAGCTTAGAAGGAGTGTATGAAAATTAATTTAAAAACTCTTTCATTTTCCCATATGAACAGTAAGTTAATCGTCCTAATGTTATTTTGAGGATCCGGAGTGGTTAACAAGTTGGAATGCTGTCCAAGGCCAAAGCTTCCTCTTGCACAGTTTACAAAGAAGATAGTCTCACACACACACACGTTCAACCAGAGGCAGAATGAATGGGAAGATGCCGGAGTGATCAATGGAAAAGCAGGCGTTTAAATTCTTCCAGTTACTTAAGCTGATGCTTAAACATACAGTTAGAGTTTAAATTAGTGTTTCCAAATACAAAATCATCATTTTTGAAATACTTTACTAATTTTCATTTTTACTTTAATGAAAATGACTTGAAGGGGTTAATTACTGGGTGAATAACCGTACAAGTCTGTGGAACTGATATTATTCATGTTGGGTTTGGGTATGAAGGTTCTGGGGAGACAGAAGGCATTGAAGGTATGCAATTTATTAAACAACGCTCTCCCCACTGTCACTGTGTTACCAACACCACAACGCAGCCATTACAGAGAGAGAGAGAGAGAGAGGGTGAGAGAGATAGAGAGGGGGAGAGAGAGAGAGAGAGAGAGAGAGAGAGGAAGAGAGAGAAAGTTTCCCTGAATAGCTTCTGTTCTTGAAGTTACATGATGTGATGTCATTTCACTTTCACATCATTGCTATGAGGGAGAATTTGTCCCATTAAGAGGGAGGTGGAAAGAGAAATTGGGAGTTTGGGATTTGCAGATACACACTACTCTACATAAAATAGGTAAACCACAAGGTCTTACTGTAGAGCACAGGGAAATATATTCAATACTTTTTAATGACCTATAATGAAAAATAATATAAAAAGGAGTATATACTTATGTATAACTGAATCACTATGCAGTATACCAGAAGTTAACACAATGTCGTAAATCAACTATATTTCAATAAAGAAAAAAAAGAATGAGGAAAGAGACTCAGAAAGGTTCTGACCGACTGAGTTATTTCCCCTAAAAGAGCATTCACCCACTGTAGTTTCCCTTGTTCATCTTGTCTACAAATCTGTGAATGTGAAGATATAAATCATCTTCACTATCATAGCACCTCTGGTGTACATTGTTGATGCCCAATAAAATTTTTATTAGATTAGGGAATTTGAAGTTGCACCGATGTAACAATAATAGCTGACATCCATTGAATGCTTACAACGTGTGAAGCGCTGTTCTAACCTCTTTACACACATTAACACAGTTTACCTCTTGGGTCATTGGGGTAGGGACTAGCAGTATACCCATTTACAGAGGAGGAAACTGAGGCCCAGAGAAGTTAAGTCATTTCCCCAAGGTCACATAACCAGTAAGAGGCTGTTGAGGGTTTAAACTCAGGCAGCCTGACTTCAGTCCCAGGCCTTGCTTGCTCAGTCTGTTTGATTTTATTTGCAATTTAATTGATTTCTTATTTGACTGGAGTGACTTGATGGTAAGATGGAAGTCATAAATTTTTAAAAATTTTCTTTTGCATAAGAAAGTCAAGGGAAATTGTGAGAACCATTATATTGTATAGTTCTACTCTCAAAGGTCCTCTTAGAGGGAGAGGGTGTAGCTCAGTGGTAGAGCATGTGCATGTAGAGGTCCTGGGTTCAATCCCCAGTCCCTCCGTTAAGATAAGTAAATAAACAATAAACTCAATTACCTCCCTCTGTAGCTCCCCCTACAAAAGAACTTGACCATCAGGTCACCATCGGGAAATAAGTGGTTACTGAGCAAGCCTTGGTGCTTTTCCTCGTGTCCTGTGACCTAGGGGCTCTGGGGTTCCCTGTCTTCTCCCCAAGGTTCCCCAGCTCCCCGCAGGTACCTGGGACCATGCAGCTAGTTCTGACAATGAAATGTACACAGAAGTGACACGTGGCACTTGCAGGCTGAGGCAGTGAGGACCCCATTCGCGGTTCTCCAGTCCCACCCTCCTCCCAGTGGTGGCTGAGAAGGTTTCACATATCAGTCGATGCAGCTATGCGGTGGTGATCAGCCCGGTGACCACTTACTGAGGGTTGCATGGAGCAGAACACCCACTCCTCCCATCCATGCTGGGCGCGCAGCATGAGCAGGAGAAAGCCTTTCTTGGGTTGAGCCATAGAAGTTTCAGGGTGAATATGTTACTCAGCATAGCCCACTTATTCTCACTAATACGGCCCAACACGATTAAACCTCTTATTAATGGAGAATTTCTATATATTAGCTTAACACTTTACTTATATTCTTGTTTTTCAGTCTTAAGTGTAAAAATCAATTTGATTTTTAGCATAGGAGTTGACATTAATGAGGTATGAGCAATGGGCCATGCTGTTTTTGTAATTGCTTCGTTTCTGATTATATTCATATTGTTATCTCAACATCACATATTGTCCCAATATGTCATTACTTATTGACAGCCTCTGTCAAGCCACATTGACTAAAATAACTGCATATAAAAGAAAAAAAAAGTCTAAACTGGTAACCTCATATTTTGACCTCATTCCAATGGCTACTATCTGGGGCGAGTCATTTACATTTGAGAGCCTTTTCTCCCCTTATCTGTAAAATCTGAGGGTTCAACCAGATGATCTCTAAAGAATATTCTAGCTCTAATATCTTACTATCTGGTCATGTTCTAAATGTCCTGTAACGGGGGACAGGCTGCCATTTTATTTTTTAATTTTTATCTGGAGACACTGGGGATTGAACCCAGGACCTCATGCACGCTAAGCACACACTCTACCACTGAGCTAGACCCACCCCATCCCTGGCTGTTCTTTTAAAGTACTCTTTAGGCTCAGAATTCAGATTTGGAGGAAGACTATTCTGATGAGGACTTTCTCTTATTATGCAAAGTGAAGTCCAGACCCTGTTCTGGAACTGAAAGTTTGAAATCACAAAGAGCTACAAATGCTTTGCCCATAATGTAAAATTTGTGTTTTTTATGTGAGGGTGGGGAGAAAGGCAGGCAAAGATGTATAAAGGAGGCAGGATATTAAAGGATTAAGAGGGAACTGACAAATAGGAGAGTTAAGAGAAAAGAGGTTTGTTTCTCTGGGGTAAGACAGATGGAGGTGAAGGTGGTCTCAGTGGGGTAGGTGTTGGTGGCAGGACAGAGAGCCAGAGACAGTCCCTCAGGGACTGTGAAATCCTCCAGCCCTTGCTGCTCAAAGCCTGGTCCAGAGACTCACCACAGAAGGATGACCCGGGAGCATTGAGAAATACAGCCACTCAGGCCCCATCCAGACCTGCTGATCTAAAACTTGAATTTCTAAAGCATCTCCAGGCGATTCAAGTACACACTCCCTATGAGAAGTGCTGCTCTAAACCACAGAAAGCTTCTCTCTTCTGCTCTCCACGTCCTTGCTATTCCAGGGGAATTTTAGTTACATCCTGCTGCCTGGTCCCGAGGAAATTAAGAGAAGGCGTGTGTCAGTATTCCAGCTTGGAGGGGAGACAGCGGGGACCTCGAGGGGCAGGTAAGGGGTGGGAAGAGGTGGCCGTAAATGTGGAGTATCGGGGGTGAGCTGGCAGATGGACTGGGCAGTAGCCAGCAGGCTGGATTTGTGGGGCAGATGACATTGCCCAGACACACTTGGCAATCCTCAGTTGCAGAACCCCAGTAAAGACTGTGACTGGCTTGGACTGAATCTGGACAGCAAGCATCACTCCTGGCATGGCAGAGCTTTGGAGCACTTGGTGATGCCACTGATTCTAAAGCTGCCTGAAAAATTACTGTCATGGCCAAAGATGCTTAACATTTAAAGCTGAAGCATGGGGAACCTTCGGCTCTGTAACATTAGATTCTTTTCATATGGTTCCCGTTTGGCATGCGGGCATCTGAGTGACCGCTTCCTCCATTATCCCTGGTCAACCAATAACCTTTGTGCACCCCGGCAAGAAAAGAGGTTAAAGTAAATTTTAAAAAAGTATTACATTTTTAAAAACAAAGTATGTCTGATAATTGTGGTTTCTTGAGGGCTACTGTGGGGTTTTCTGTGTTTTTTAATTTTTTTTTAAAGCAACATAACAAAAAGTGATTTTTCTAACTAGGATTCATGTAATTGCTTTAGGTAGTCCTAGTTGAATATAAATTATACTATCTTCTTGTGCTTTTATTTTTTCCCCACCAAAAGGACTAAATTTTGAAAGGAACTGGTCTCAGTAATACTGAAAAGTGGTTTGAGAAGTCACTTTGATCTTATAAAAACTAAGAATAACTTCAGAGAGTATGCTGAGAGCAGTTGTTTGAGCAAATAGATAAACATATCTAATTTTCTGGATAAAGTAGCTCCAGTCCTTTTTTCCAGATTATTTTCCATTTATAGGTTATTATAAAATATTGAGTATTATTTCTTGTGTTATATAGTAAGTCTTTGTTGCTTATCTATTTTATGCATAGTAGTTTGTAACTGTTAATCCCATACTCCTGATTCCTCTCCCTCCTTTCTTCCCCTTTGGCAGCCATAAGTTTGTTTTCCACGTCTGTGAGTCAATTTCTGTTTTGTAAATAGATTCATTTCCATCATTTTTTTAGATTCCGCATATAAGTGATGTATAATATTCGTCTTTTTCTGTTGACTTACTTCACTTACTATGATAATCTCTAGGTCTGTCCATTCAGCCTCAGTCTTTTCTTCTTCCTATTTTATTTTATTTTTTTAATTTTATTTTTTACTGAAGTGTAGTTGATTTACAATGTTAGTTTCAGGTGTACAGTGAAGAGATTCAGTTATACATGTATATTTTTTCAGATGCTTTTCCATTATAGAAATTGAATATAGTTCCCTTTCCTATACAGTAGGTCCTTGTTGTTTATCTATTTTGTATACAGTAAGGTATATCTGTTAATCTCAAACTCCCAATTTATCCCTCTCCATTTTTTACTCAGCCACAGAAAAGAATGAAATAATGCCATTTGCAGCAACATGGATGGAACTAGAGATTATCATGCTAAGTGATGTAAGTTAGACAAAGACAAATATCATATGATATCACTTATTTGTGGAATCTAAAAAAAAGACAAATTTTATTTACAAACCAGAAAAAGACTCATGGACATAGAAAGAACACTATGGTTCCCAAAGGGAAAAGGGGGGGAAGCTCTAGTCTTTTGATATATTTATTTTATTATTCACTTTAGCTATAATGTTTAGTTATAGCAGAGCAGCTTAGTGATTTTAAATCCTGAGTTCTAGAATCAGTCTATCTAGATGTGATTCATGGTTTCAATACTCATTAGCTGTGTGACCTTGGGGAAGTTACTTAACCTCTCTGTGCCTCAATTTCCTCATCTGAAGAATGAGAGTGGCAATTTTTTAAAAAATGAGCGAAGTGAATTAATACATGTAAAAAAACATAGTACATGCTCGAATATCTGATCTATTTATTGCTTTCTACAGTAGGGGCAACCAAGGTGCATGGAATTGAGGCTGATTAAGAAAAACATTTAAAATTTTGTCTTTTGGATAGTCTTCCTCTGCCCTCAAAGCTAAAATACTTACAGATTCTCCTTTTTCACCTTTAGGGCCAATGGATCCTGGAAATCCTGGTGGTCCAGTTTCACCCTTTCAAGAAAAAGCAGAAGATTTTGCATGAGGCCAGATGGGTTCCTCTGTGACTGCCAAGGTCACAGCGGCTGCCTGTGCCCCTTCTCACTGTGGGATTTTCCTCTTATCCTTCAAGAGGCAATGGAAAGTTCTGAATCCAGTTAGACTCTCTGTATCATGATGCATTTGCCAACACTCCACAACGCCTTAAGGTCTTTTAGAAGTCCACAAGATTCATTCTGACATTTAAATTAATGTGAAACCAAAGTTAATTATTTTTCAAAGGAAGAACATTTAGAGGAACAAAAATGATCATTTTGCTTCTGTGGCAGCAATTTTCTTTTCTTTGGTGATCTTAAAGACATAGATGATTGAACTGACACAATAATCCAGACTCATTTCATTTCTGACAGTTCTTTCTTTTTTTAGGTGGGGAGAAGTGGAGGAATAGGGAGTCATAGGAAGAAAAACAAGTCTCTTTGCTGTTCCCAGGATTTAGGCAGCACTTAAATGATTGGCTGTGGACAAAGAAGGCATTCTTGTCGATGTGACAGCAGCGCCTTGGAAACATCTAAGAGATTCTGGTCAAAATTACACATTAAAAGCCAACAGTGTTCCTTGGTGTTCCTTCCTATATCTTAGTGTTCTTGATTCAGGATGTGGCGGCTAGTCTCAGAGGGGTTGGTGTGTAGATTCTACTGCTGTCTGTGTCTGTTCTGGGGATTCGTAGGAAGGCTAGGTTCCCAACGGTAGGCTGGTTCTGTGATTCTGTTCTGCCAGCCAGTGATGTATGATATGGCAGTAAGTCGTGTATATGTTGAAATTGGACTTCTGGTTAAATGTTTTAATCTACAGAATAAATTGAGTCCCTTCTTTGGCAAAATTATGGTGGGAGATGCAAAGATGATCAAGACTGGGTGCTAAGGATGGTCACAACTATGAAAACTGAAAAGAGATAAATGAGACCTCTTGAGAAGACAGTTTGGAGTGGACGAACAGGAAGGAACAAATCATTAGTGAAGGCTTAGTATGTGTCAGTCTTGTGCTTTGGGGAAGTTCACCTCGTCTCATTTGATTTTAAGCCCACCATCAACTCTGTGCGAATATGACTACACTCATCTTACAAATGAAACTGAAGCTCAGAGAAGTGAAGTGTCTTTCACAAGGACACACAGCTGTAAATGGCATGATCAACTTTTGGCCGCAAAGCCAGGGCTCTTTCCACCACTCGATTATTCTCAACCCTGGTGGCCTGCTAGAATCATCTAAAGCTCTTTTAAAATAATAGCTATGAAGACCCCACCCCGGATCAATCAGAAACATGAGCTCTGCCCCACATCAGAGTCCCTTGAGATGGGGCTTGAGCACTGGCACTTTCTAAAAGCCCTCGGGTGGTGCTAATACATAGCTAGGGTTCAGAACCACTAGGTCTACCCCAGTGGAAGTGGAGATCTGTGAGAGCAGTTTGAAGGAGCTTTAAAACAGAGGTGATCTTACTCTCCTTTGTACATTTGTATCAGGCAGTGCATCAAGTTCCCTGTATACTCTTCTAGCTTATTTCTTTGGCTGGGAAGAGGGAACAGTTATGCCATTGGCTTTTTCTAATTCCACTTAAGATTCTGAAGCCATTAAAAAAGATTTTGAGCAGTCGAAAAGGTCCTTGGAGTTTGAAATACACCTGTCTAACAGAATCAAATTTCTCATCATTGAGGTCTTAAGAATTCCTGAGTAACATATGTTTCCTAATGAACATAGCGGAACAGAAGCCAGCTGTTTTGTTTCAAGAAATGAATCATCATTTAAATACTTTAAAAGTGCCACAACCCTCTGTGCTCAGCTGTCTGAAGTGACAAGCACTGTGGCTTTTTTTTTCACCTCCTTAGTCTGCGTGGGTCCGGCAGTAATTGCTTAAAATGTAATGGGTTCGTTACGGTGGTGTAGGAATTCTGGAAGCTATCTGGTTACAGGAAATAATGCTAATGTTCTAGCAGTACAACCCGAGACACATAAATGACATTACTGCTGTGTAATCAATTCGGGGGGATGTCCTTTTAAGAATGTCAAGGTTTTGTTTATTTCACTTTTTTTTCTTGCAGCAAATTTCATTTTCAATGGTCAATCTATAAGAAGACCCTACTTTCTGTTAAGACTATCTTTGAGCTTTCTTTTTTTTTTTTTCCTGGTGACGGATGTATGATCTTGTGAACAGATCAGCTGCACTGATTTACGAGGCACAGAAGTCATATTTTCTTGGACTCATGTCAAAATACTCTGCCCTCAATCAAAAGGGTTTTTACAGGGCGAATGAAAGAGGGTAGCACTCCCAGGCCACGTTCCCTCAGAGTATTTTCAAATCTACTCATCTCTGTCCATGGGGTTAAGGTGCATTGTGTTTTTCTCAAGAGTGGCGCATGCACGCTGAAGCCAAGGGCATCACAATTTCAGGATCGAACAGGAGTGAAACATCTTTCTGAGTGGGCAAGTGAGCCTGTCATCTTCACAGCTAATGTAATTAAACCTGTGAATGATGACCATGATAAGGCCATGGAAGTTCATGGAAGTTCACCAAAATTTTAATTTTAAGCTGTTTGGAAACAATTATTTGGTTAAACCACAATTGTTCCATTCTAAAACCCCACCCACAAATGCTCCAGTGGCAGCTTAAGTTTGTACACTTAAGAAGACACAAAAATAGAGCCCGAGGCATTTTGTCGAAAAGACCTTCAGATTGTATTTGCCACCTGGATGGATTCATGCAGCATCTAACTGGAAACTGAAATGTGTGATCTAATTCCCTTGATCTGCTACAGCACCTTTCCCTTGATGTGTTCCCTTCCTTGTAGTCAGCTACTCAGGGGTCTTCACTTGGAAGCTGATTTCCGTCCTGCCTGTGGTCGGGAGGCAGGGAGGCCGGTGCCCACCACAGGCTGGACGTGGAGTCCCACATGGCGGCAAAACTGCCCTGACACGTGAATGTGTGAGTTGGTGTAGAACCCCAGATGGTTTCCCTCACTTTGAAAATTTCATTACCTTCTCTCCTTTTGGGCCACCAGCTTCATGCTCACCAAGGTTTCCCTAATATAAAACAAATAAAAAAAAAAGAGAGAAAATCCATTTTTAAAAATACTTTCCATTCCATTCCTACTTTAAATGTACAAAGAGTCAGGTAATAGCACTGTCACATCATTTTTTGGAAACCCTTTCAATTACTTTTGCCCTTCTCATGTTCTGTTAAATGTTCCTGAAAAACACTAACTTTAGAGACCCTACCTTTCCTCCCAGGAGATGACTCTGGAGAAATATCACAAAATTAGCAACACTCCAAATTAATGCCTGGCAGCCTCACCTGGACCCCAGTCACCACATATATGTTCTAGTGTTAGTAAGGACATCTCTGTTGGTCAGTATAATGGACGCGCATTGATTGACCTCGTGGCTGCACCTGCCACAGTCCTGACTTGTATTATATGGCCCTCTCCTGGTTGCCTCCTGTCTCTCTGACCTCTCCTCCTTGTCCATCACCTAACTGGAGAAGGTCGGGCTTCCTCAGGACTCTCTCCAGGCTCCCTCTCTGTGACTCAACATTTCCTCCCACACACTCTTATCTCCTCTCAGGCTCCGGCGTCATCCACACAGAGACAGACACATTTGTAAACCCTGCCCACATCTTCTTTCTGGGTTTTGACCCACATATTTATTTTTCCACTTGATGTATTCACTTGTAAATTCTAGAAGAGATTTAAATTCAATACATTCAAAGCTGAATTAAAAAGTACAACAAATACAAGAATATATGAGTGAGAAATATAAGAGAATTACATCACGTTGTTAACACTTGTTAATTCAGAAGTCGGAGAATGGTCAGTGACATCTTTCTAATGTAAACCTGCAGTTAAATCTGACTTATTAAAATTAGTGGTCATTTCACTTTCCAATTAAAAAAAAATCTGAATTCATCCTCTCCCGTCCATAGAACTCTTTCTTCTTCAGTCTGGGTGTCACTGTTAACACAGCCCTCCTCTATTCCTCAAGTATGATGTCACCAGTCTGGTCACCTCTGTACCCCCAAATCTCTTCTCTTCACTCTACCTGCCTTCAATGGGAAAGCCACCATCATGTCTTACCAGGATTATTGCAATGGCTCCCTAACTGATCCCCTATAATCCACCCCCATTCTCCCCACATACACGTTCTCTGTATAATGTCAGACAGTGATCTTTAAAAGATGTTCTGATCTCCTTCCTTCAAAGCCTTAACAAAGTCATATAAAGATCTTCTTGCAGTCCACGATGACCTGGAATTGAATGGCCACCCATACCCAGTGAAGCTCCTAACATCTAGGAAGGACTCAATAAATACTTGTTGTATAAACAAGCCAATAATTCGAATTTACGTGTTTTTTTCCTATTGAAGTTCTTTTTTAATTAAAAATACATGTGTGGTTCGAAAAAATTAAAAGCACAGAAATATTTAAACAACCAACATTCACGGAGTCTCCCATTCAGATCACTGTGGCTATGGTTTAACCTTTTAAATGTACTTTTCATGGTACTCATGCAGCTCCCATGAAAAATAAGTAGTTTATAACTGCATTTTTATTGGTCTTGTGACAGATATTCTCTCATTTTTCCTACTTAACTTTGATCCACAATGCCTAAATTGAAAATAAAAATCATAGTCTCAAGATCCTGGGCTATAAATTATTAAAAGGACATATTTGAAAATGAAGTTTGACACTCCAAGACGCGTACGCAAAGAATCGGCAGTTACAAAATGGTAAGTTGTTTGAATGCCAGCTGCAGAGAGACGTAACAATTTTAGGAATTTCCTGAAATTACTAACCATTTGGGCCTGGTGCCAATCACTGTGCACAGCCTGTCAGAGCCTCTCTCTCCCTGGTTGTGCTTATGCACATGCAGTGGTCTGGGATATAATTTGTCCGGAGGTGGTCTTTGGGTTGGGAGGCCCCATGCTCTTGGCTTGCAGAGCAGAAAAGCACTCAAAGTACACTTGGTGAGAGAGCATCTCACAGTGTAGACCTTGGTTCAGGTCCTCCTCCCCATCTGACCCCGCAGCAATCAAAAGGGCATCAGAGATGCTGTGGCTGGGATGAAGAAATGCCTCTGTAGCACCAGCTCATGTTATTCCATCCATATTCTCTATCGTTCTAAAATTATGATTTTTCTGGAGGCTTTCATATCCAGAGAAACAATGGGTCACTTACTGCCTAGCAGAGCACCATGTGTTTGCTTCACTCAGTTGCTAAGTCAGGAAATCCATCTAATCAAAGACCTTCAGTGGCCTCTGCAGGTGTTCTCCATTCTTGGGCTAACAATACTTAAGGCAGAGGCAAACTTGAACTTCAGTAGCATTTATTTGTTGACATGTGAGATTTTCCTCTCCTGCTTTCTCCCAGCTAATTGTACAAGACGATTACTTGGCTCTACAGAAATAATAAGAGACACACACCTTGTGTTTCTGGTGCCTGCGGTTCTGCCTCAGATGCAATTCTAATTTTACTGGGTCACTTTGTACCTTGCTGCCATGTTATTTGAATGGATTCTTACAACCTTTTGAATAACTATAATAGTTGTGCAGTTTTGAATGTGCTTGTTTGAAAGTTTCTGTGGTAAAATGGTGAGGGTTGTTGTGTGGGGGTGCTACTCATCCTGCACATTTCAGGAGTCCTGGGGAGATGAAGACGGCAGAGTAGGAGGATTCTGAGCTCACCTCAGCCCCATGAGTGCATCAATACTACACCTGCCTGTGAAGCAATTCTCACGGAAAATCAAGTAGAGACTGACAGAAAGACTTACATAATCAAGACTGTAAGAAAGATCTACACAAAATCAGGTAGGGAGGGAAGAGAAGTGATCAGGTGTGGACCTGTGTCCATATAGAAGGGGACCAGAAGAGGAGGGGGGATTACACAGCTTCAGAGATCCTCCCTGAGGAGTGGGTGGGTTTGAACCACATTTTGGGCACCCCAGCCTTGGCTTCTCATATCAGGAGGATGATTCCCCTTAGCTGGTTTGAGGCTGGTTTGTCAGTGGCACTGACAGTGGGGCTATAAGAAACCTAGCGTCTGCTTGTGAAGAGCACGCACATGCTTCCTTACTCCTGAAACAATGTGGAGAAAGCAGATGAAAACTACCCAGGACTCTGACTTGTCTCCTGAGGCCATGTCAGCGTGTGCCCCAGCTCATGCCGTGCACCTGGTCCAGGTCTGCTTGTTCCACTTGCTCTGTAGTGCAGTTGCACACCAGTACAAGGACTGCCACAGCCAGGGTGGGTGCACAGTTGTAGGGGGTGGAATGGGCTTACACATGGCACAGCATCTGAATGGGGGATGGTGGTTATTGCTGGCACTTAAGGAGGCAGCCAAATGGGAGCTTTCCAGAGCTCTGATGGTGCCGGGGCCACCGCAGCCTATGCCCTGACCCACTGAACACCCACTATAGCCCCTCTTGCTCCAGCACTGCTCCCATCTTGGGCAAGGGTACTGGTACTGGGAGGAGGGAGAGTACACACTTAGATGGAATGAAGCCAGCTCTGACTTGACCCCCAGGGCTTCTGCTCCAGCAGCTTGGAATCTGCCCCAGTCCCCAGTGGGGCACTAATGACCACTGAGCAGAGGACAAGCCTCAGCTCACACCTGGCTCTGGCTCTAGCCTTTACATCTCCAGCTCCCTTCCTACCAAGGTGACAGCTGCCAGCACACCTAGGAGGAAGACATGACCTGTGCTTACTTCAGATTCAGCTCTCCCATCAAAGCCACAGCACACACAAACTGTGTAGGGATGATCCCACACAAATACACCCCTTCAAGACTGGGACTGGTAACTATTTCACCCAGTTTCATAAAGGTAGAGAAAGTTAGCAAAATGAGAAGACAGAGGAATTTGATTCAAATGAAACAAAAGAAACTCCCTGAAGAAAAAAAAACAGAAATAATTTATCAGATAAAGAGTTCAAAGCACTAGTAATAAGAATGATAGCTGAATTAGAGAAAAGAATAGATAAACACACTGAGAATTTCAATAATAAACTAGAAAATATAAAAAAACCAGTCAGAACTGAAGAATATAACAACTAAAATGAGAAACACTAGAAGGATAAACAGTAGACTAGGTTTTCATTGACACATAAAAGATACAGAAGATAGAATAATGAAAATCACCCAATCAGAACAAAAAGAAAAATAAATTTTAAAAAGTTAGAGCAGTTTAAGTAACCTCAGAGACAACATCAAGTGTACAAACATTCACATTATGGGGTCCCAGAAAGAGAATAGAGAGTGGGGTTGAAAATGTATTTGATGAAACTGTGGCAGGAAACTTCCAAAATCTGAAGAAGTAAAAGATTTCCAGGTACAGGAAGCACAGAGGGTCCCAAACAGGATGTACACAAACAGACCCACACCAAGACATATAATTAAAATGGCAAAAGTTGAAGATAAAGAGAGAATTCTAATGGCAGCAAGAGGAAAACAAAGAGTCATATACAAGGGAACCCCCATAAGTCTGTCAACTGATTTTTCTACAGAAACTTTGTAGGCCAAAAGGGAATGGCATGAGGTATTTAAAGTGCTGAAAGGGAAAGAAACTACAACCTAGAATAATCTACCCAGGGGTTATAATTTAGAATTCAAGGAGAGATAAAGAACTTGTCTGACAAGAAAAAACTAAAAGAGTTCATTAATATTAAACTTATCCTAAAAGAAATGTTAAAGGGTCTTCTCCAAGTGGAAAAGAAAAGGTTATGATAAGAAGTAAGAATCTATAGGAGGGGAAAAATCCAACTAGTAAAGGGAAATAGATAGTAATGGCTGTGACTCAATTACTTAAATAAGCTAGTACAAGATTAAAAGAAAAAAGTTGTAAAGTTGACTATAGTAATGAAGAGATAAATATAAAGATGTAGACTATGATATCAAAAACACAAAATGTGGGGGAGGGGAATAAAAATGTAGATTTTTTAGCATGTGTTTGAACTTAAATGATTACCAGTTTAAACAAAGCAGAAATAGTTATAGGTCAATGTATATGAACCCCATAGTAATCAGAAATGAAAAA